TCGGCAGGCGGATTGGTACTGCGTCTGCAGTGATGTGGGCGTTGTACCGGTCTGTCGTGGTGAAGCGGGAGCTGAGCCAGAAGGCAAAACTCTCGGTTTCACGAACTTTGGGTCATGACCGAAAGAACGAGATTGCTCATACAAGCGGCCGAAATGGGTTTCCTCCGCAGGGTGGCTGGGCTCTCSCTTAGAGATGGGTTGAGAAGCTCRGWCATCCGGGAGGGACTCAGAGTAGAGCCGCTGCTCCTCCACGTCGAGAGGAGCCAGTTGAGGTGGCTCAGRCATCTGGTTAGGATGCCTCCTGGACGCCTCCCTGGTGAGGTGTTCYRGRCABGTCCCACTGRGAGGAGRCCCAGAGGAAGACCCAGGACAYGCTGGAGGGACTATGTTTCCCAGCTGGCCTGGGAACRCCTTGGGATTCCCCCGGATGAGCTTGCCCAAGTGGCTGGGGAGAGGGAAGTCTGGGTTTCTCTGCTTAGGTTGCTGCCCCCGCGACCCGATCCCAGATAAGAGGAAGAAAACGGATGGACGGACTATATATAAATGTACAAAGCCTAGTGAAGAAAACATGTCAGAAATATGCAACTGAAACAAGTAGCCTATAGCTTTTCAACATTAACATTGTAATAGGRCATTATAATTACTATGACCTTTAGAAAAATGTTTTTTGTGGGAGGTCACCTCCCAATAAATGTCATTTCAGAAATTCTAACCACTCAATTTTACTTAATACTTTTAATTTTAATAATTAACCCATGAAGGTCTTTTGGGTTTTATCATGAAAGTAGAAATGGGTCCAGATTCTAAACATTTTATATTTGAAATTTACTTTTGATACTGAAGTACAGTAAATGTCAGGCGCTTAAATACTCAAGTAATATTCAAAGAGGAAACGGTATGACATGGYWTGGTAAAATATTTGTACTTTTACTTAAGTATCACTTTGAAGTACTTTGTATAAGACTGCTGTAGATGTACGTCCATTGATTAATTTTTAAAAGTTACATTAAAATGTGTTCATTGGTACGCTAACAGACTGGGTTGATTACATTAAACAGTAGTTTATTGACAAAAATTGTTATAAATCTAAAGCGTCCTGTTGTTCACTCTTAGCTGCCACCACATTTTAGGTGAGTATCAGAAAATTAGAGAGTTTGTTTTATCTTGAAGATAAATGGATCGTAGCAGCCATCTTGAATCAGGTTGACTCATGAGCTGTAGACGTAAATTGAATAATTTTCTGTTACATTTAATGAAATTCCACCATGAGGTAATTTGGAAACATAAGACCAACATTCTTGCTCTGCTTGTTGAARGTGGACTTTAATAAAATCTAGATTTTTAGGTAAAATTTGTTGTTAAAATATGTTAAAAAGCTGGATTTAACTGACAGATCAATCAGTTTTTAGACTGACAGAAAGGCTCTCTGATGCTTTTTAAACACAGATGGGAGCTTTAGAAAATTCTCACCTCAAATAAACCAGCTWGAATTAGTTTTTCCCACAAAGGTTTGATAGAATCTTTCCATGGAAACCATTAAAAAAGCTGAATATTTGATGGTGCCCACTCCTCAGCTCGTGTCCACGGTCCCCACAGGTGCTTCTGTGTGGATGAATCCTGATAGATCCCCATTACCCCGAGGGTGACCCCCTCACAGCTCAGTTCATTAAGCCGGCCACCCAAGTGTTCGGGACTCCAGTCCACGTTTAATCACAACTCCCATCCTCGTGCCAATCACAATTAGACCCTGATAAGCCTCCCTGGGATGGCACCCGAGGGCCTTCACACACAGACAAAAGGTTAATTTGTGAGCAGCAAGGGCCCAGCTACAGGGTCAGAGGTCACCTGATTGAATACATGGAAGGAAGATGGTGGGGCTCAGCAGCAATTACAAACTTCATCAGTATTCATGTGTTTCTTTCATGGCTAATGGCTGCATTACTTTGGAAGAGGTGTGCTGATTGCATGTGGTCCTTTATAGGGAATGGCTTGTGGGGAGTGTTTAGGAGGCTGAAATTGGACACTAATTTCTTTACGGTTGTCTTTAAAAGTCTCCACACATGCAGTTGTTTCTGTCTGCTGACTGGTTCAGCAGAACAGAGGAAGAAAAAAAGACCTTGATGCTTCTTTCTGCTCCACTCACCTCCCAGCTATGAGTRCTGGATACTTCTAAAGCAAATATTTGCAGTGACTCAGAATATATTTACTTTCAATATCTTTTTTAAGAAATCAGAACAACATGGGCTGTAAAATCCTTCAGTAAAAAAATAGTTTTTTTAATATTTTTTTGTAAATCACAGTTTTTCATTTAAAATGATGCTTTTGGACTTCAGCTTATTTAGAAAAACAAGATTAGGGTTATTCAGAAATAATGAAAAGTTCAAGACCTCTCACTTCTCAGGAGTATAAAACACATCAGACAACAAATAAATAAAACCAGCGGTTTAATGAAAATGCAAACTGAATGCTGAGACTTTCTTCTTAAAAGCTAAAATGACCAAAACTAAAGCTAAAATTAGCTAAAACCAAAAGGTAGAATTAGCAAAGCAAAAGCTAAATGCTAAAGCCAGCAAAGTAGCTGAGAGGAAAAAGCTAAAGTTAACAGAATTAGAGCTAAAATCATGATTGTGCCAATAGTGACACAATCACGCCACCGGCGCCCCCTGAGCGTCGGCCCGGCACGTGGTCCTGCACCTCCAAATCTTTGTAACTCTGCAAAGGAGCCATTGAAATTGTTTCTTTGACTGTCAAGCTTTTACTYTCCTACTTACATTTTCACAAGCTGTACTGCCACATGTTGTTTTGGAGAGTACAACATAGCATCAAATATMAACACCTCCACTGCTGGTGAGGGTGCGCACCCTGTGCAAGTGCACGACTGTAGCTTAAGAGTTCTGACTGTCAGAGCTGGATTCCTATCGTCAACTCATTTATGCTAAAAGAAATACTTCCAGGAGAGCTTTGTTTGTTCTTTAGCATGTAGCATTTCRCTAAACCTCTGGATAACTGAATGGATTTGTTTCATCAGCTCTGTTGTTTACTGATACGTTTTTCAAAGAACAGTTTGAGTTATTTTTCATTTAGGGAATTATAACATTGTTTTGGAAAATAGGTGCTTTTTAGCAAGTACATAATATAAATAAATATGTACACTTCACAAATTTATATATTTTTCACTACTTATTTCATTCAAAAGCCAAAAAATAGTATATCAAACTTTTATATAAAAATTTTGTCTGCCCCTTATTAAAAAAACAAGTATCAGGTATTTATCAGCATTAAACTTTCTCAATAAGTTTAACTTAATCATCTTTTTAAACATAGACCTTGTTTTTTAAGTTTTTTTATTCTAATATCAAAATAATTCCACAAATCTATTCCTTGAATTATAGCTTGAAACTGAGGTTTTTCCAAATTTTCCCTTCAAATTATAATGACTATAATTATAAGGACAAATTCGGAGATAATATTTTTAAGGGCTTTTATAAAATACTCTATTGAATCAAATCATGTGATTTTAATCAGTTTAAATTATTTTTAATATATTATATTTTATAAATATCGATGTATTTTATATATTAAAACTGTTTACATGATATTATCCTAAATCGAGCGCATTAATCAGTGAACCAGAAGTTTTTTTTCTTTTAGTACAAATAAGCTGACAGTATGAATTGTGCTTTTGGGTCAGCACGAGCAAAACATTAGCTAAAAGCTAAACATAACAGACTAGTAGCTAAAATGTGCACAAAATAGTTTTTTATTATTATTTTTCTGTTATTTCAGGTTACTGTATCTGTCGTTTGGYGCCACCTTCTAAATAAGTGCTGAGTCATCCCAAATCGCACTGCTAATGTACAAAATTATAAAAATAACAAGACATGGGTTTTTAAGATGTAAAAACAAGTGTGTATTGCCATGTAGCATGTCATTGCCTGTAGCAGTGGACTTGCAGAATGAACTTTGACCAAGTTCAAATGTGTTTTCTATACCAGCTTGTGCCTGCCACATCAGCAGGTGTTTGTAATTAAGGTAATTGTGTGACAACATGGAATTTGAAGAGATTTTTTTTGTTAAAGTTGCATTAGCTGGGTTTTGAAACCTGATCTCCCACCTGAAAGTCCATGACATAGACCATTAGACCAATGGAGCTGTGGCAGAWGRTGGTGGCAGGGGTTGGTTTGTATGTGTGCAGAAAGAGGCCACATTGCCAATACAATTATTGACACAAAAATGCATAATATTACAACAATTGAGCAGTATTAAGACAATATCAAAATACAATCATATTAGTACTGTAAACACTGAACTACTGAGTTGAAATATTAAACTATGGTGCAGTACCATATTGTGTAGATGCAGCAGGGGGCAGTATTGGACCAATACAAGGCTGCATTGACTGCAATTATAATTTATTAAACATTAATATTTCAAAAACTATAAGTTTTACAGGCACCAAAAGGCATAGTCATCATTTGGCACAGGAGCTTTACAGATATAAATTACAATGGCAGCTCTAGGATAAAGTTTGCAGGAGAAGCATGGCAAAGTTGAGATGACTTGGATGGGAAACGAATCACAACACTGAAAATGGGTCATCACAGAAGGAACAAGTGTGTAGAAATTTGCATCACAGCCCACACAGATGGAGGAGAATAAATTCTGTCCAAGCAGTTAAAATCCTGCAAACAAAAGTGGTTCTGGACTTCTTCTTTTTTTGTCCTACACAGTAATGAAAAGCAGTTACCTCATTAAGGAGAACCTAAGAGTCAGTGTGTTAAAAAATAAAACTAATTCCTGGACTGGACACTGTTCTGTGCAGTATCTGTGCAGACACAGAGCTGCTTTGTAAGGATGCTGGTTGAGCTGCAAACATTTGTTTCTTGAAAAAACTGACCTCTGAATCCTGCTTTAATGGAGCAAACAGCCTGGTTTCTTCTGCGCCTGTTCATGGCTGCCTCTCTCTGACCCAGTATCCTGTGGTGTAATGTCTCTTCCAGGCCAGCTGGCAGCGGGGACATGTGAGATTGTGACGTTGGACAGGGACAGCAGCCAACCACGACGGACCATCGCCAGGCAGACGGCCCGCTGCGCCTGTAAGAAGGGCCAGATCGCCGGAACTACAAGAGCCAGACCCGCCTGTGTGGACGGTGAGTGGGGGGTTTCGATTCTGGCTTTGCTTGTTTTTGTTTAAGGAGCCACTCGGTGCTGTAGTAGCTGACTGGAGCGAGCGGCTTCAGTTCACTGACAAAGACTCGGACGTGAGCGTGTTGCTCCCGAGGCCCGGCTGCTGTTCTGGATATGTCGGCTTTGAAGCCCTTTAAGCAAAAAACTCCATGTAAAGTGAATCCACCGAAAGGCTCGGCGGTTTTCAGTCACGGATAAACCTTCAGCGTGGAGCAAAGTGGATCACAAGGCTGTTTTTATGTTAGTAAGACCTGCACCAAATCTATTTACAGTTGAGTCATTTTTAAAAGTTGCTGCAGGGGAGTTTTTAAATCCCACACCAACAGATGGGATTATATTTCCTGGTGTAGTGACACCATTACTGTCATAGTGTCTGTGTCAGGAGAGCTGCAGCGGTTTGATTGTTCTCACTTGTGCTACTGAAGTAACTCTATTAGAAAATCAATTATTTGATGACAAGTTAATCGTTTAGGCTTTTTTTTGTTGAAGCAACAGATTTAGATTTTCGACAAAAGTGTGACAAAATGAGATGAACTGACACTTGTCTGCCTAGTTTCAGTARATCCATGTTTTTACACAACTTTATTCTCTTGAAGCAACCCCAGTGGGTCTATGCTTTGAATTTAAACCAACTATTAAAGACTAATCAACAATTAGTCATAACCGCAGRGGCGGGACCACAGGGGCATTGGACCCTGCTGAAATCTGATTGGGMCCCCTGAAGAGCCCCTGTCCTGTCACTCATCTGTCCTTTGGCTGAGAGCGATGATGGTGGCTGCAGTTCCATGCCCAAACACTAGAGGCGCTAATGAGTCTAACAGTAAAGTCCAGCATGAATCTTACAGACGTCTTCTTCTCTTCTTTAAAAGACTTGAACAATTTTGCAAAAAAGATCTTTCAACTGGCAAACAATGACTTCATTTTCTCACATGCTTTGAGAATATTTTATCCATGTACAGTAAAATGCATGTAACATTAATAAGGAGAATTTAAAGTGCCTGAGACATTAAAAAATTTTTTTGAAATAAACATGAATGCATTTTTGAAAACTTAACACTGATAACATATTGCGAAACAAATTTCATGCCCCTGAGATGAACAGTTGCTGAGATATTTGCACATGAAGAAACAGGAAGTGATGTCAAAGGGGAATGTCTGAATGTAAACAGAGCCTTGTTACAACAGCTGATAACAGACTGTAGAGACAAATCTGATGTTTYTTTAGATTATTTTGAGTCTCTATCAWACACAGATGATGAAGAGTTAAAGTTTAAATGATACYGTTTTAATAAACAAAGACCAGAGAGTTTATTTTAYTAATGAGTTTCCCTTTGATGTCACTTCCTGTGTCACTTTGGCTGAGCCAAATTCAAAAGAYAATAGGCYAGTTATGTAACAAAATGGGTAAAATTATGTTTATCATACCAGGTTTCTTAAGTATAAAGATGTTTTCTTTGAGTTTTTGTATTTGAAGGATATGCATGTCACTGGTACTTTAAGCTTTTTTAATAACATTACATTAGGTTGCAATTGTTGRAACATATGTGACCGGTTAAATTTAWAMACTTTACCAAAGCCGAGGATATATGTGTAAGGATGATGAACAAATACTTGGCCYCTCTATRAMTAYTGTGGCCYMTTGATGGCCCCTTRTTCAGAAAAATCCTAGATCCRCCACAGCATAACCGATCCTTATCCTTAAATACATGGCTAAAAACAGACCAGTAGTGCAGTTTTTGTTGTCTSTTGCTGCCATTTTTACTTCCTAAGAACTGAAAAAGGRYAAAAAATACKGTGATGACAGTGCACTCCCATCTTTATATTTCATCTAAGTGAGCCAGAGGCAGGCTGTCGCTCTCCCGTGATGTGGCCTCCCACCATGGAGGGGGAGGTGCTGCGTGCTCAGGTGAGAGGAGAATAAATGGCTCTATTACTGAGCTCCACCAGCAGTGAACTGGAACTCTGGATGTCTTCTTTTTATTCACAGTCAGAGCTCTGATTTGAAGGTCTTTGTTTGCTCTGTTCTACCAGTTTCTCACCACGGTTGTGGTGTGGCTGATTTAGAGGACCACAGTTGTTTCTGTGCATGGAGGGACTGGGATAGACTTTTCACTTGTTCTTGGTTGAACTCGTTGGGTTTGGAGTAAATTAAAGGGAACTGAAGGCAACCCAAAACGTCACCTGCTTCTGTCACTCGTTTCAATGTGAAATGGATCATAATTTACCAAATCAACATCGCTGAGGAACATGAATGAAGATTAAGAGCAGCTGAATTAGTTTTTATAGTCTTTTGTAAAACCAAGTTTATTTTTGTTGGTCATTGCACATAATGCAGTTAAAACTGGCTTTATTTTTAAGACATGACTTGAGACARGGTTTTTGTGAAATCAAACATGAGAAAGCTTGAGTTTTCATCTTAAAGTCTGAGTTTAACCTGRATGTTTAGAAAGTGAGTTTGCGTCTTGTTATCCATACCTGTACCCTTATCACTGTTCTGCTGTTTTATATTTTAAGGTGGTTTCTGTAAACTCTGACATTCAGTGAGTATTTTTATCCATGATGAAGGCTGATTGACAGATTGGCTAGAACTTCCTTGTGCTGTTGTGTTCCCTGATGGCAACAATTATAAGTATGTTTTTTTATTTTATTTTGTTTTATTTTTTGCGGGGTGGGGGGTCAGGCACATAGTTAAATTTTATACCACAATAAAGTAACTGTGTTATGAAAAAGCTGTATATATCAAAAATAAATTTGACTTTGCATCATAGTCTATCTAAACCCATTGAAATTGGCCTCTCTCTTTAAGAACCTCCTACCATTTCTGACACTCCCACTTCAGCACGTCATCACAACACTTCATGCATTTACTTCATTACAGTACTTAAGTAATTTTTTTGAGGATTTGTAATTTTACCAAGTATTTTTTGAATTGTTACTTTTATTTCATTGCATTTAAAACCCAAAACTGAAACTTTTACTTCTTTACTTTAAGATTGAACACCTAGTTGCTTGTTATTAAATATGTCCGAACTCATCATGCTGTCTCTAAAATTTAGTTGTCTCTAAAACAATGAAGTGTTGAATTCCACTAAACCTAGTTGAGTAAATATGAAGCAATAAACATATTTTCTTTAAAAGAAATTTTGTATATTGCTTCAGTTTACTCAACTGGGTTTAGTGGGACCGCTTTGGTTTAGTAAATTCAACAGCTTATTTCTTAGAGAGTGTGTGAAAGTACTTTTACCYTCCCAATTTGTGTGAACAGTTTTATGACTTTTACTTTACTTTTTCTCATCAGTGAAAAGCATTATACTTTGTTATTTTTTAACCCGTTTATAACCTTTTGTAGGAGAAAACTCCAGCCATCAGTGGTGGGCACAGTTCCCCTAAAGCACTAATCAGGGGAACTAATTTCCTGATTAGTGCTTTAGGGCTTTCGTGGGGGTTTCAAACAGTTTATGTAAACAAAATTTCCATTTTTGTATGGACAATAAAGTTTTGTCTTATCTTATCTTTTGTTCATTTTAAAATGTATTAGTGGATTAGCACTTGCTAAATTTAGAAGCACTAACTGAGGTCTATAAATGTTATTGATCAATATTAATGTTAACAGCTGACAGTGAAAGCTGACACACATTTTGTTCATATGTGTGTCACTTATCCACCAGATGACAATATATTGACAATATATGAACCTAAATACAGCTGTGGAATATCAAGGATATGTAGAGAGCAACATGACAACATGGGACTCATGTTGTCTGTTGAAGAATATTCATAGGTTGACTGGGTTATTAATGCTTTAGAATTAGCTTTTGCTAAAACTTTCTGTGCATTAGTGCTTTAAAAATTAGGGGACCTAAGTATTTGAGTTAGTGTTTTAAGGCTAGTGGAACTAATGTTTAGATTAGCGCTGCCAACCATGTTGATAAACTGTGTAATCCTTAGGAACCATAAAACAGGGATAGTCTCCTTGGTATCCAAAAATACAGTTCCTTGGTGAAAACATTTTTTTAATCTGAAAAGGACTGGACTAAGTAAGTAGTAAGTAAGTACAGCGGGTAAAATC